CTGCTGGCAACGGCGCTAAGCTTTCGTTTGGTCAGGGCGCCCACGCTAGAGGGCGCACTGCCTGGAGGCTCCTGGGTGGAGACTGGAAGAGCAGCGGCAGCATAGGGCTTCAGCAGGAGATCCTCTTCGGATTGGCTAAGCACCGAGTTCTTCACGAGCACGGCCAGGAGATCGGTGCTCCCCAGATCCAGCATAATCCGCTCCTGGTGCCGCGAGAGCAGGGATCGCACCTCTTCTTCTTCTTCGCGCGTCATAACGGGAATTTCTTTTGATTTCGCTTTCGAGTGGAGACTTACTCCCACACACAAAAACACACGCGACACACAAACACAGCTGTTGTTTGCTCTTTATTGCACCTTTTTGCTTTATATATTCTGTTTCACTTTAGCACACACGAACACATTTTGAATGCACTTAGTTGTTGCATTTTTCGTATTGGATTTGTTTAAAAATTAACTCGCAAGTGTTAGTAGGAAAATTTATATTCGCGCCATTTATATTCGCAGTTCGTTTGAATCGTCCGCACGCCGAACCTCCGCCGTTGAAAATGTTTTACATTTTGATCAAACTTATTACATGGCAACTACACGGCAATTTGCACACATATTAACTGAATAAAAGAGGGTATGGACAACAGGCAAGAGAGACCAGAAAATGCAACGCATGCTAAGTAACATCCACCCCGTTTGCCTAACATACCTTGAAAATCCACATTTTGTCTTCAAGGTATATTGTCGTAACACGCCGAGGTGAGGTTCGTACGAGCCTTGTAATTTGGCTTTGGCTGTTTCTGCCTGTTGTCCATACCACTTTATATAGCGCATTCAAAAGTACGCTCTTCCGACTCATTTGTTCGTTGCACGTATGAGCAGGAGAGCGCGGCAGCGTGACCGTCTGACCTACAGAAATATACCGAAACATACCGTCTCATTTTCCAAATATACCTGAAATATACTGTGAATTCACGTTATATTAAACATATTCCTCGTTTTTGATGTTCCGTTGAATATTACTAGCTAGATAGCATATTTAGCCATGCCCACAAAATTTTATACGATTTATAAATCAATTTTCTACAAGACATGCGTATTTCAGGGACTCCTTGTTATTGGACTGTGTCTAAAACAAGGTTTAACTAACAAAGGTAACAAAATGTACAAGAAAATGATCGGTAACAGAGCGGTAAATTAACTTTATTTTGAAATTGTGCCGATTTGTGAGCAACGTTCTCGCGCGTTGAGCGTGATTGTTATTTCAAAATGATAATCACACCCGAATTTTTAGTTTAAAAAAAGGTTTAAAGTCATATAAGACATACATATGTATTGTATAAATTTATTTAGACTGTTTCGGAAGACACCACTCGTGAAGTCGTTTGTTCAAATATAATGATTAGCAATGCTTTAAAATATGTTTCCAACAAGAAACACGTGGAAGAAACGCCGCGATATCCCCATTTCTGATAAAACTAATGGTTCGTGAGAGCAAGGAGGACCCATTTAAGTCGGCCACAGAGCTAAAAAATGATCTTAAAATATCGTCAAGTACCAGGAAAGTTAGATCTTGTTTAAAAGAACGTAAAGTGGGTACTCATAGTCCGAGGAAAATACCACTTTTGACGGGAAGGCATAGGGAAAAAAATGTTTGATATGCAAAATAGCACCAAAGCTGGGCCAAAGAAAAATCCTGTGGTTCGACGATAGACAAATATTTTTTTTTGGCGAAAAGGTATTGATTTTATGTGAAACAACTACCTTATGCAGAATACAACCCCCCGACTCACATGTAAAATCATTAGACATAGAAAAGCAAGAATAATCGTATGGGCATGATTTTCGTACTAGGAAGGAGATTGAATAAATGGCCCCCACCCATCAGTTGTTTTGTGTCCAAAACGATCTAGAAAGAAAGCTCGAAAGTGGTTCGAGAACAATTCACTTAGTATAATGGATTGGCCTGTACAGTCTCCAGACTTAAACCCCATTGCTAATATTTTTGGTCAAGTTAAAAAATATGTTGCTAATGCGGAACCAAAGCGCAATAAGTCTTTGGGGTAACCTGCATGATTCGTGGATGAATATCATAAGGGAAAAATGCGAAAATTAGGTGAGCTTTGATGCCGTCATGTTGAGCTGCTGTTGTTGTTGCCAATAGCTTTACAACAAAATACAAACCTTTAAATAAAACTAAAGTAACATATTTTACTAAAAATTGTGGAACGTTTCTTTGTATTTTATAGTTTCTTGACTTTTTTGTAAATTGGTGCTATTTTGTGTTGGTGCCCAAATTTCTGATAAAATCTTTTTTTTTCAAATATTTTCATTTGGAGTTTACAAATCATACGAATGCTCTGGGATACCATAAATTATACCTTAAAGTTTATATATATATATGTCTTTACAACACGATAGCCCCCAGGTGTTTTTTTTCGGCGCAGCTGTACCTTAAGTCCTTCCCTAAATAACATTTATACATAACTTGTGACTTTTTAAGAACCAACGATTGCTACGTGATTGAAGGTCTTGATATCTAGTTGCCTCTCTCTCTCTCTCTCTTGAATATCGTAAGCACATAGGGAATTGCACTCTCATATCGTATTGTGATAATGAGGACTATATCAAAACCGGAATCGGAACAAACCGCCCTGTGCAGTCGCCCATAGCCTTGATTAATTGCCGTCGGGCCACACAACACACACCACATCGGGCCGACCGACACATTCTCAATCACTTAACTCAAGTGTTATTGCCAATCTTTATCGACCGGCAAAGAAACTGAGAAACAGGCAATACAAACAGGCAACACCGACACACAAAAGGGCTCTAATTAGGCCTGATTCGAGTAAGGCCTATTCGAGGCACTGCGTAATAATAACAGATGTTGAAACCAGACTCTCGAAACGGATAAAGGTAATTATTGGAAATACATACATAGTTGGGAATTAGTGCATTGAGAGCGCAACCAAAACGGTAAACTGCATCCACTGCATTCCAGTTTCACATTCCACAAAATTTTCGAAATATTCTCAGATTAACAGGTGTCATACCACCCCCACGATACCCAATTCGATAATTGATTGCATACATCTGATTATATGTAGACTGCTTTAGCTTTAGCGGCTGTAAGCCTCCATAAATTATGCAAAAATGCAGTCGAGGAGAGCCTAATGAAAAGTGTCGCTCATAATTCCAGGCGGTAAATTGCTCTTTGCAATTCTAAACGCGCGCACTATCTTCCTCCCCGCACCCCGCAGAACGCCGTCAATCAAAGGAAGGGACAAATGCGGTTATTGTTGTTGTTGAATCAGAGCAGTGGATGACTAAAGACAGAAGTGTGGACGGGGCAGAACGAGTGATGGCGCGGAGACGGAGGGGAAAAGTGCGAGGGTGCTGTCAGGGCAGGGTTTCAGAAGTTGTGTGGAAGGGAGAAGGAGACTGCGTTAGTTCGATAGCAGCATAGCAGAATTGGATTAGAAGAGTGGGTGATCGGAGAGAGCATAAGTTTGAGGGTTTTCTCACACAGTTTGACGGAGAGAGAGAGAGAGAGAGAGAGAGAACGTGAACTGGTGTGCGTGTGTGTATGGAATGCATGTAAATTACAGTTATTAAGCGGACAATTGCTTTGAGTTTCGAATGCATTCAAAATGTATTAGAAAGAGAACCTAAAAAAAAAATGTGAAAACACGCAGAAATTTGCCGACTGCATGTCGCTTATGCACTGAGAACAATTTACTAGAATCTAGATTTAAAGTTTTACTTTTAGTTCATATTTCGTCTTTCAATTATACGAAATACTATTGTATTGTAAGATATTCCAGTTGTAATTTCCAAATTCTTCAATTATGGTCTGAGAAGATTATCCACAGTGCAGCCTTGGGATTTTATTCAGCAAATGGCAATAATTCTGTGTAAGTCAGGGCTTTGGGGGAGTGCTATCAATTGTACCACATGTTCTTGCTCAATATTCCCGTTTAGTATTGCTCGTCACGTCTCTCCAGCTTCCCCTGCATAGATTCGGTCAAATCTGGGGGTTACAACTTACACAAGTTAAGCCACTTTCCGACTGTCTGTATCTCTTCCTGTGCCCAAGTAAGGGCTGAAGAGAAGCAATCCACACAAAATGGGGTGACTCCTGTCATCCATCAGAGGCTGTCCCTTACCTTTACCCTCACCATAAAACTTCTCCCAGACTCTCCTAACTTCCAGGTGCACTCGAACGATAATCATCTTGGAGAATGGTTTTCAACTCCATTTACCGATTGCCTCAGCGCACGTGGGCCGCCGGATCTCTTCGGAATTGTTTGAGGTATTGTTATTTTTATTATTTTGTAATTACTTATAATTCATTGCTTATCGGGTAGCGCTTAAACCAACTGCCAAGCTGTTTTTTTATAGAGTCTAAAAGACCACCAAATGGATTTTACAGCTGATTCTAGGTGTTGTTAATGACTTCCAAATGGTTTTCCAGATGGTAATTTTATTTAATAATGTTTATTAGATTATCGCTCTCTGATAGCTACTTGAAATGTGTCTATTATGCAATAAACTCTTTATTTAAGAACCAGGACTTTGAAAAATGAAGTTCATACTTTCAAGATGTCCTCTTCTAGTCCTTTAATTAAAAAAAATTCCTCAGAAATTTAATGTTTCGGTTCTGTTTTGACTCTTTCCCTATTTTACATGGCCTTAGGAATATTCGTATTTTTCGTATTTTATCGTACTGTTAATTTCTCAGTATAGCAGATATCAAAATATTTCTTCGAAATATGACAAAACGTTATATAATATCCGAGCTATGAAAGAGGTAACATTTTGATTATATTTAGAATCCACAAAGTGTCCCACCCTAGTGCAGGTAGTTCCGCGCCGAGAAATCCATTTTCGTTGCCTTCAAACAGTGCACCACCCTAATGCAGATCTGTCCCATCAAAGCAGATGAGAAATCAAAGCGCATCACACCACACGCTAACGACTCACCGTTACTCCTTTTCCACAGAAGACTTCCAGCACCCATACACCTGCAACAGTCTCCAAAGCTCCCACACACACACGCACAGAACGTAATGTAATGGATATAGAAATGTAGCGGATCCCTTCCCTCTCTCACTTTCGTTTAAGCGATGGCCACGTATAGAAGTGCCCACAGCGAGCCGTACACGAGTAAGAGCAACAGCAACAGCAACAGCAGCAGCAGTAGTCGCCTGACGGCATTGAGAAAACGCCTGACCACGTGTTTGCAGCAGTGGTGCCAACATCTCCAGAAGCCGGCTTCCTTCCAAAAGTGCAAAAGTGGCCCCAACCACCAGTTTTACAAGATCTTTGAGGAGGTATTTGACAGCAAGGTATTTGGCGACAAGACCAAATATATTCGGCAGTTTAAGAAGATTTTCAAAGGGAACAAGGACTTAGCTAAGAAAAGTGAGCCAGGGAGGGTAGTGCTAGTGCTAGTGCCCGAGAAACCAGTGGACGACACAGAGGAGAGCCAGAAGAAACAGCTGCAGCTTGTGGCCAGACTCTTTTCATCCACACTGATATCCGCGAAGGAGGAGATCTCCTGTAGCTACAACAGCAGCAGCATGACTATCATCGACAGCAATTACATCGAAGTGCGGGAGGAGTACCCGGAGATTGACAGCGAGATACGGTCCATACTGCTGGCCAATGCCCAAAGTGGCATCACGATATCGACCATCAAAAGTGAGTATCCGTAACGCCAGAACCCTCTTAATAGAATAGATAGATAGATCCCTAATCCCGACGAATCTGATCATCAGATGAATATCGAAAATTGACGGGCAATCCGTTTCCGCTGCACGAAAATATCACAGACTTTCTGCTCACCATCCCCCACGTGACCGCCGAATGCTGCGTGTCCGGGAAGCGAATTTTTAACATGAAGCCACGCCCGGAGACTCGCCACCTGTACGATATGGTCGTCCATCAGAAGCGAACCAACGACCTGGGGACCAACGACCATCCGGTGGCTGCACCACCCCCACGCCTCTGGCGCTGTCAGTACAAGCGTCGGGCCCTGTACTCACTGAACACCAACAACAACAACAACTACAATCTCAACCAGAATATCAATCACATCGAGGAGAAGGTACCGGCTGTTGGTGGCAAAGAAGTCGCCATTGAAGACCAGGCGGGTCCACTGCAGCAACTGGCCAGGGCTGCGGCGGAGTCAAACTGGTGCTATCAGGACAACTGGAATCATCTGTATGTAATATGTTTAATACCCTTAAAACGAGTCTTGATATGGAAAACGTTGCTTTTTATAGATTATTTCACCCAAACTTCTCCGAATTCAATTAAAATACCCGACCATATTGATGATCATTGAAACGATCGGTTTCCAATCAATTACTTATGAGATAACTTTTACAGTTTCTAGTACAATACAATCAGGATTTCAAGTTTCTTTGCCTTTCCATTTTCCCAGCAAGAACTGCTATCAGCGAGCTAACATCTTTGCCGATCCTCCAGAGAAGCCACCGCCGTTGCCGGCCCAAGAAAACCATCTTCGTAATTCCAACAGCCAGAACCATCGGGATAACCTAAAGAACCAACGGAATTTGCTAGTGAACGAACATCATAGTATGCAGCAGGAGTATCAGTATCAGTATCCCACCACCACCCCCACACCCACCACCATATCGAGTGGGACTCAGCATGACTCCATGTTCACCATCAACTCGGATTACGATGCCTACTTGTTGGACTTTCCCCTACTGGGAGATGATTTCCTCTTGTATCTGGCTCGGATGGAGCTGAGGTGTCGTTTCAAGCGGACCGAGAGGGTCCTGCAGTCGGGTCTGTGCGTATCTGGGCAGACTATAAGTGGCGCCCGGTCGCGTCTGCATCATTTGCTAGTGAACAAGGGTACGCAAATAATTGTCAATATTGGATCCGTGGACATAATGCGGGGCAGACCGATTGTCCAAATCCAACATGACTTTCGTCAGTTGGTCAAGGACATGCACAATCGGGGACTGGTCCCGATCCTAACCACATTGGCCCCGCTGGCCAATTATTGCCACGACAAAGCGATGTGCGATAAGGTGGTCAAGTTCAACCAGTTCATTTGGAAAGAGTGCGCCAGTTACCTGAAGGTGATCGATATACACTCGTGCCTGGTCAACGAAAATGGCGTCGTCCGGTTCGATTGTTTCCAGTAGTAAGTGCAGCGATTTTTCGATCACTGATAATTGCTAATCGATTTAAAACTTTTTACAGCTCATCGCGTAACGTGACGGGCTCCAAGGAATCCTATGTGTTCTGGAACAAAATTGGTCGGCAACGTGTCTTGCAAATGATTGAAGCGAGTCTGGAGTATTGATCGTATTCGAGCCATGGAGACTGGTCTGGCACCTGTCTCCTCAATTGGAGGATGAGGAGATGAAGATGAAGATGTTTTATATCCACGCTGACGGCGCGGCGCATACGCTGAAATTCGAGATTCGCTTAATATTTTTAATGTGTTTTATGTTTCCATGTTCATTTTTATGTTTACTTGTATTTGTTCCTTGTAATTGTCTGTTTGTGTAAGTCCCTAGTGTAAATGATTGTTTAAAATTGCGTTTTTTGTGTTTGTTGTTTCTTGTTAGATTTTATCCTTTTCCCGAGTTTTCTGTTGCTTTGGATCGATTTTGTCGGTATTTTGAATTTTTCTACCTAGTTTTTGCTACTATCCCAAAAACTACGGAAAACTTCATTAACAATAACGATTCGGGACGACGGAAAACTTGTCTAAAAATGCTCTTGAAATTTCCAACACATTTCCCATTGCAATCTAATCCCATTGAATGGATTGCAAAGCGAAATGATATTCAAATGCAAATCATTGCAAATGTTATAAACTGTTTTCTGTTACTCTTATTCTGTATTATTCTGTTTGTTGGCCAAAATGTTGCATTCTCCTGTATGCCAGCACCTCCCTTGTGTGGGAGTTCCATGTGTGGGAGTGGGTTATATACATTTGAGTCATGCTACATTTTGGCCCTAGACTGAAAATGCACTTGCTTCACTTTAAGCCTTCGCTTGCACAGAATCAACGCCGCGGCTGATTTATTATTAATGTGTTTAAGCAAATTCAAGTGAAGCATTTGCGCAATTTTCGTTTCCGTTTTCCGAAAGTTTACACTCTGCTGCAGAAACGCGGTCAGAAGTGCGCGCGCTAAAGCGTATTTGTGTAGTGTGTAGCATAGAAAACTTCTCTTTAATTATCTAAAATGAATTCCTTGCTATTTACTATTTATAAACTAGTTCTCTTTGGCCTTGAATGTATGTTAATTGTATGTATTGAAAGTGATCACGTTTTTTTTTTTTGTATGTCCTCATATAACAAGTCGCAATGTAAAATCAAAAAAAAAAATTTAAAAATAAAACCTGAAGGTAAAATCTAAAACATTTCACAGTGTGGGGGCAGTGTGCGAGGGTTAGCCTGGTTTAGGAATGAAAACGACTTTGGTCTGAAGCCCGTCTTCTGGGATGTGTCCGTGGAAGAGATTCCCTCGTAGATCCTTTTGATTTTGATTGCTCACGAAAGTTTCTCCTGACTTGGCAAGTTGAGGATAGAACTTGGGGCACCAGATGAAGACGCGATGTAATTAGGTCTCTTTAGTTTCCCTAGTTTTGGACATCACCATTCAGGATCCTTTCGACCTATTGTTTTACTAGAGGGGCGGGATATTTCGAGCGCCTCACTGCAGGAATCGGTAAACATTTTTACAAGACTTTCACTTGCCACTTGTCCTGTCCAGGACTCCAATTAGGGTCATGCCTCAAGCCCCCTCTGCGAATGAGCGGTTGCTAAGTGTGTGTGTAAGGTGTGTCTTCGTCCTCTTGGGATCTTCTTTCATTTTGATGATTAGCGCCAGAGTTTGCCAATCGGCAACTGGTGCAAACAAACATTCCCTGCTTCATTTGTACAACTACTTGATGGCAATTTATAATGTCAACATTCCATAATCCACAAGTGTGGTTCAATCCCAAGGAGGCCCAAAAATGTCAGAGATCATTAGCGAGCTCTCTACAAGTGAGTAGAAATCCGCTTCAAAAACTCGGTAAATAACTCGGTGAACCAGACCACGTAGTATTATTCGATGGCTTATAATCTCTGTTCTTAATTTTAATTAATTTAAAGTACGGCTTATTCATAGAAGTGTGCCGAGGAAAAGTGCAGCGATCCCAAAAACCAGCCAAGGTTAGGGAAGGCGATAAAAAAAGGAGTAGAGCTGAAGAAATCTCCTCGAAGAAACCAAGTCTTAATCATTTATTTGGGTGACCAATGCGTAATGGGAAGTAGGCCCGAGCCCCCACCTCCTCATTCAAGCTAAGTGGAACTTGGCTCACCAGCAAAACCCTTTGCTGATTAAAATATCTCGGATTTCTTATTTATTCATTTATCACTAGTCCACCTTATTTTTTCTGTCTGCATCGTTGATATTCAGTGTTTCTTCGATCGTGTTCTGCTCATCAAAAATTGTAGTTTCTGCATCGTCCAGACCAATGCAGACAACGTTTCCGCCTGGAATCCTATTCGCACCTGCATTGCAATAGGGACATGGGTTTTCATCATCTGACTCCTCAACCCGTGGCCTTATGGCCCTTATGGCCCTTATCCGAATTAGCCTGTGTTGCTTAAACAGACACTGTAGACGATGAGCTATAAAGAGCACGGGCAGCAGAAGGAACGCCGCCACTGATACACTTATCCAATAGCCGTTCTGTAAGGATGAACAATAGAATCGATCGGTAAGTCGAATAAAATAACAACATTTTGTGAGGAACTACTTACTATGGGGTCAACCATGCGTTTGCAAACCAAGTCAAGGCCGCGATCGTATATGTAGGTCAGAGGTTTGCAGCGACCGATCTTTGTCTTAGCCTCCCTGATTATCATTCTGAGATAGTCCTTGAGTTGATTATCAATAGTCTCGGTTAAGTTTTTGCCAAGAGAAGAAATAAATTTCGTTCCTCTATTTTGTATAAATTCCTCAACATCAATTATTCTCTGTCTTAATATTTTCATGGAATCGGCAAGGTTGTAATTTTGGTGGACAAAATAATACTGCAGCCAAATTGTATTTATATCTACCCAATAAAATACTCTTTGTACTTCGGGATAATACTTATGTTTGATTGACTTGAGGCTAACATGCGCGTTTTGGAAAGCTACAGAGGCGGCAGCAAAGTTACTCCACGATAGCGACTGCCCAAAAGCGGTGAAACTCTCCCCGAGCTCATTTAGTTTCAACCTGTCGAGACGTGGACAAACTAAATCCATCCAGTTTTGCCTCTGAAACAATCCTAAAGTTGTTTCCTCAAGGGAGACTAAAAATACATCTCGGTCAGCATCCGTCAGTATAAATTCCTTTGACAAATCTAAATTTTGATCAAATTTCCTTTCCCCGACTGTCACTAGCTTCAGTCGAAGAAAATCGTCTATGTCAAAGATTTTATTATCTTGCAGAAATGTAAAGAAATAGTCGTCGCCTTGGCACGCCTTGACAACACTCGATGCTCTGATTGGCTTGCTTGATTTATTGGCAGCTCGTACATCCACATTCCGGAAAGAAAACATCGTTCGGAGATCGATCTCTGAGTCTAGGTTTTTTAAAAGCGCACTCGACTTCAGTTCGCTCAGTGGTGCACATGCGCCTTTGTACGCCACACCACCAATCACAAAATAAAAAAGCACCACTATCAGCATGACGGATATCGCACAAAATATCAAAACCATGCCTCTGCCAGGACAATTTGTATTAGTTAAGGGAGCTCTTTAATAATCTCAGAGCACTCACAGTATCAAAATGTACGATGCCATCTTTGTAGTGAAATACTCATTGCTCGCTCCGGTGGGACGTTTTGCCAGACATCCGATAACCAAAGCCACAATCAGGACTGACAGTATCTAATTAGGAATTTTGGGCTTAGATTGGAGGAACCAGACACGCAGACATTCACTACACATTCATTTAGGTACTCACCACAAAGAGAGCTACAGATATATATTGAACGACAAAGTTGCGTGTTTCATTAAATTTATCGTAAAGATCCTCAAACGCCCTGCTCGCACGTAAAGTGGCAAGATAAATGTCACTTATGACCACATCAATTATTTCTTCTATTCTCCTCGACTCCTCAGCTAAAATCAGCCTTGCCTTACGAATGTCTCGAATTATTGGTGGTGAGACTCGTTCCAACTCGTCCTTAATCTTTTGACTAACAACACGGAGACGCGGCAGCCATTTTTTGTGTCGAGTCCCAATCGTTTTTTGGAATTCAATCAGATCATCATGCATTGCTACCGCATCGGGCCACTAGATAGAGAGTAATTGCAAAGATTCCGTAATGTTGGTATTGGTAAGTATTCACCTCATCCAAGTGTAGGCATCTGCTTGTATCCACAAACTCAATTCCTGAGGTTTGCAGAAACTTCATGCATTCAAAACTGCCACAGAGAACCACCGCCGCATAGTTAATGTCGCGCTTTATTGCCCGGAGACCTGAAAACAACATCCAGTGGTAGTGAATATAACCAAAAAGTGAATATACAAAGAACGAGCACGAACTATAGTGCCTTGTACTCTCCCTATCCATCATCTCTACACCTAATGACAAATATTCTAGCTGCTTCCATACCGCACAGTCCGTTACATCTCGATATCTACCACTCTCTCTATTTCCCCCAATGAGTGGGAGAGAATACGAGCTCGCGACTAGGGAGTCAGCCATTGGATTGTTTTGTTCATTCTGACTAAAATAGAAATGATTGTGTGACAGTGTGATATCTTCCTAAAACATAACACTACGATAGGAGTCTGCAAACAAAATTCCGCCGATCTAGCTCTTATAGTCTCTGAGATCTAGGCCTCAAACGGAACGGACATACTTTGTACACATTTATTGATTATAAGCATAGCTTAGGATTCTTACTAAGAAGATTTTATTGTACTTCATACTTTAGAATTGTTAACGAGAGGCTGAAATAGTGCGGTACCAGTCTGTTGTTGTGTTCATGAGATGAACCCGCTGCTCTTGAAACATCCTTTTTATACCCGATACTCAAAATCAGTATAGGGGTATATTAGATTTGCGGTGAAAATGGATGTGTGTAACGTCCAGAAGGAAGCTTTTCCGACCCCATAAAGTATATATATTCTTGATCAGCATCAATAGCCGAGTCGATTGAGCCCTGTCTGTCTGTCCGTCCGGTCGTCCGTCCGTCCGTCTGTCCGTCTAGTGCACAGAGACTATAAGAGCTGGAGCAACGACATTTTTTATCCAGTCTTTTGTGATATGTCGCTGTTACAAGTGTATTTTAGAACTTCGCCCCGCTCACTTCAACCCCCTCAAAGGAAAAAAATCTTTGGCATCACCAATTTTAAAGATACGAGAAAAGCAAAGGAGCAGAATGTAGAGAATGACAATATCTACATATGTATGTACATGTATCTACATAAATGACTCCTTCTATGTGGTTCAGTGATTTTTGTTTGAAAGTTACTACGTCGATATCTGTCATTTTAGCTAGAGCTGTCTCTTATGCTGGCTGTGTAGATATATTTACATACATACATATGTGCTAAATTTATGATATACATATGTATACATATCTATACTTTATGGGATCAAAAATGATTCCTTCAGCATGTTACATAAATCCTCATGAGTTTCTCTTTGGTTACCGGGTATAAATACAATTTTTATCTTACCATTTCTTAGTTTATTTGCATAATCCACACCAACATATGTTGCTTCACTAAGAAATACCAAATACCTAGTGGTGTTATAAAATGAAAGATAAGAGATATGTCCGGCTAGTTCCGCAATGGAATTACCCTCTGCGACATCGCTTAAGTCCCTAAACAAATGTTTCGGTGCATCTGTGGTGGTTGGGGTATAAATAAATACATACATACATATATGAGATTAGAGAAGAGGTAAATTGAATTACGTCATACCCATGATAGTACTGATCAGATGTGTCGACAGCTCCTCATAGTTTTTCACAAACAAATGATGAACATGATCGCTGACATCCTTCAGAAAGTTGCAAGTGTCTATGCTACCCATTTCAAGAGTCTTTTTAGTGTTTTCTAGGCCGCGCTCTAGCATGCCATTTGAGAGGACGGCCAGGACCATACTACCACTGTTAACTCAGAAAGAAAGAACAAATAAAAATAAAGAACGAAAGAAAAGAAAAAATTAATCCGCATTCGGGATAAAACAGAGCCATAACCTACGCGATTAATGGAAGGATCATAATCAAGCAGGTGCTCCAAAGAAGAGTTTTCCTCATATTTGAACCCGAATGGCAAGCTGGACATCCCAGCGAACAGCGATGGCAACATAAGCAGAAATACACAACACTGTTCCATGCGAACAAGATAAGCATGTCATTAATGGTTTTGCGAAAAGATACAACATGATGTACTCACCCTACAAAGGGTGCCAGGATAATCACAACAACCAAAAAGAATATCCAAAACCACATAAGCCAAAATGCGTTTAACCAACCCGCCCAATCATCCTTTATAACTTTCGGCCCCAACCTCATGTTGTCGTTACCGAAGTCCGTTATGAAGCCTGGATCAAATATTTGATTACGTTCACTATTAACCAGAAATCATCAAATCGGGTCTCACTTACCTCTTGGCATGGTCGGATCAAGTGGAAACATTTTGTCAAAAAAGGTTCGCGAAAATTTGAAAACAATATCCACCCACATTTTTGTGACATTCTGTCTCTTGGAGTAATTCATTGAAGGCTCGAACCTTGAGTATTCAATACTGGGAAAGTGCAGTACCCCCATTTGCTCGTGAGAGGTGCCATGTCCCGAATATCCTTTGCGCCAATATGAGAAAGGGGGATCATCTGGTGGGTTTGCACTGGCGGTACTCTCATAAACCCGAGTGACCAGCACAATCAGAAGTATAGCCGCACAGAGAGTGGCGGTCGTCAGAGTCCCCTCCATTTTTCGCTCTCTTCTGTTCCTGGCACAATTAGCCACGGGTCTAATCCGTTTAGACTCCGTAATTATACATTCGGTCATTATCTCTAGGGTTCTGTTCTTTAAATACCTCCGACCGCGAATATCAAAAAATCAAACTTATGTTCATATACTAAAGGAAGACTTTAAGTTAAATATAGACGGGAGAACCATCATATGAATTCGTCAAACCACAAACAAAGCTTCATGCTCGTACATAACACTCACCAAGTTTATAGAGATAGCATCCCCAGATGTAAATAACACTTAATTTTTAATTTACCAAAAATTTCGAGCTGGTATTGAAAATTTACAAAAATTTTTTTGTTCGTTTCTCTTTTATTTCAATCAAAACTAAGTATAAGATTAAATTCAGAAGCTACTGAAATAAAAAAAATCTGCTTAACAGAAGAAAATAAAAACAATGACACTAGATTTAGCTTAGGTTAGGGACGAAACCTCCCTCCAGCGCAATTGGACTGGGATGCCGCATTGACGTGTGCCCCTTCTCATTGCCTAAGCCGTGGTGCCCATTTCCTCCGATTGCTCACCGCAGAACTGAATCTCCCCGTCGTCCTTAACTGCACGCTAATAGGGTTAAACAGGGGAAATCTATATGATATTCCTTTTTCATACTAACTATTGTAGGACGTGAGTCGCTGTCTTGTTGAAACTCCGGCGGAGCAGAGTCGTACTTAGCTTCCACCGTACTGGTCGAATTGAAAATGTAAATTTCTCCATCCTCGGTCCTCAGCACATCCCCAGCACCTACACCGTCAATCTTAATATCTGTAAATTCGTGAGCAGTGACATCTGTTGGATAGTCCTCCTTTATATCGATCGGATCCAACTCGACTTCATCAGCGGCTGAAGTCTCTGCATCGCCGCCCAGAACAAATTCGACCTCTTCCGCTTTCAGGTATTGTGCGGGCAGGTGTTTCGAGGCAGAAAATCACCAGGAGATCAAGGCGAAGTACAAGGAGTACAATACAACGCCTTCAGCTGAAGAACCTCACCTACGCCGAGGCCAACTACACCTAATTCTCCAGCAAGTACACAACGTACTCATGAACAGTAAACTGCAGTTGCAAGACCCTCGCCGATGATGCCTACTATTGCAACAAGGAGCTGGTCCACCTGCTCATCTTCGACGCCAGGGTGACAAACTACAGCTATGGCCAGTGGAAGTTTAAGAAAGAGGAGGAGTGGCAACTGATTACGCGCTTTCGGGGCCACAATGAGTGGGCTCACCCGCTGGCAATTCATCTTTGGAGAGGTGGAAGTGGACACGGATCAGGAGTTCGGCGACTACCATACAACGGCCATCGACGAGACCCGGTACAAAAGCGCAATTCTGCAACATCCAGAGGATCGTACGGAGAGCTTCGTGTACTCCGTGAAGCACTACAACGATCCAATGGAGGATAGCGATCTCGAGGTAACCACCTCGCATGCCATCTTCCCGCGAGATGGGCTTTCAGTTCTCCCACACCCGCATGTGGGAGCGATTCTTCAGCATCGAAGGCCGGGAAGTGGCAGAAGTGGGAGTCCTGAACATTTTGGCAGAAGTAATTTTGAGGGAGTTCTAGACCCCCCCTTACACAAATTCAAAAAACTTCCACTTTGGCGCGCAGCTATGTCGTTTTTGATTGCACCATTTTCCAATTTCTACTACATATTCTTTGAAACTACGTAACGTAACGTTTATTTCATTAATATGTAGTTGACATGAATACGCTGTCTACGTAACGTTTATTTCATGAATATGTAGTTGACAGCAAAATCTGCATAAATGTCAAATGTAGAATTAATTTCCGCATTTGTTTAAGTTCCGAAGCTTAGATCCACATTTTGTGCATCCCTAGAATTTTCGTTACATTTTTTGGTACCCAAAAAAGCACCTTAAAATCGTTAACCGGGGCCTCATCAATGCTCAAAAAAATCAAACTATCCTCCTCAGCCTGCGACTGGTCCTTCGTGTCTGGGTTTCGTATAATAATTCTTTGCTTTGCTAACAATATGATCTGATCCAGATTCGCCAGTCTTGAAGATATGGTTATTCTCTACGATTCCGCTTTTTTGTTTTCTTGTATCTTTAAAATCGTGGATGCCACAGGCAGAGTGAAAGAGAATGAAATTTTGTTCTTCATTTTGGCTGGTTCAGATTCTGCAGTCATGTTTAGACTGTCATGTCATGTCAGTTTATCAGTCACATTGATTTTCAACACCTTGTCTAGCTCACACAACATGCTTAGTCTTATAATTTCATAGTATTTTCAAAAATGTTCCAATATTTATTCCAGTACTTACGCTGTAGGACGCGTTATGTGGTTATTGTCTCATCTGTTTTTAGCACATTCGATATGTGTATGTGTCTACAGGCTGACTAGGGCTGCAAAACCAAATTTTAACTGTAAGAAGATCTTTGAGGAGGTATTTGACAGCAAGGTATTTGGCGACAAGACCAAATATATTCGGCAGTTTAAGAAGATTTTCAAAGGGAACAAGGACTTAGCTAAGAAAAGTGAGCCAGGGAGGGTAGTGCTAGTGCTAGTGCCCGAGAAACCAGTGGACGACACAGAGGAGAGCCAGAAGAAACAGCTGCAGCTTGTGGCCAGACTCTTTTCATCCACACTGATATCCGCGAAGGAGGAGATCTCCTGTAGCTACAACAGCAGCAGCATGACTATCATCGACAGCAATTACATCGAAGTGCGGGAGGAGTACCCGGAGATTGACAGCGAGATACGGTCCATACTGCTGGCCAATGCCCAAAGTGGCATCACGATATCGACCATCAAAAGTGAGTATCCGTAACGCCAGAACCCTCTTAATAGAATAGATAGATAGATCCCTAATCCCGACGAATCTGATCATCAGATGAATATCGAAAATTGACGGGCAATCCGTTTCCGCTGCACGAAAATATCACAGACTTTCTGCTCACCATCCCCCACGTGACCGCCGAATGCTGCGTGTCCGGGAAGCGAATTTTTAACATGAAGCCACGCCCGGAGACTCGCCACCTGTACGATATGGTCGTCCATCAGAAGCGAACCAACGACCTGGGGACCAACGACCATCCGGTGGCTGCACCACCCCCACGCCTCTGGCGCTGTCAGTACAAGCGTCGGGCCCTGTACTCACTGAACACCAACAACAACAACAACTACAATCTCAACCAGAATATCAATCACATCGAGGAGAAGGTACCGGCTGTTGGTGGCAAAGAAGTCGCCATTGAAGACCAGGCGGGTCCACTGCAGCAACTGGCCAGGGCTGCGGCGGAGTCAAACTGGTGCTATCAGGACAACTGGAATCATCTGTATGTAATATGTTTAATACCCTTAAAACGAGTCTTGATATGGAAAACGTTGCTTTTTATAGATTATTTCACCCAAACTTCTCCGAATTCAATTAAAATACCCGACCATATTGATGATCATTGAAACGATCGGTTTCCAATCAATTACTTATGAGATAACTTTTACAGTTTCTAGTACAATACAATCAGGATTTCAAGTTTCTTTGCCTTTCCATTTTCCCAGCAAGAACTGCTATCAGCGAGCTAACATCTTTGCCGATCCTCCAGAGAAGCCACCGCCGTTGCCGGCCCAAGAAAACCATCTTCGTAATTCCAACAGCCAGAACCATCGGGATAACCTAAAGAACCAACGGAATTTGCTAGTGAACGAACATCATAGTATGCAGCAGGAGTATCAGTATCAGTATCCCACCACCACCCCCACACCCACCACCATATCGAGTGGGACTCAGCATGACTCCATGTTCACCATCAACTCGGATTACGATGCCTACTTGTTGGACTTTCCCCTACTGGGAGATGATTTCCTCTTGTATCTGGCTCGGATGGAGCTGAGGTGTCGTTTCAAGCGGACCGAGAGGGTCCTGCAGTCGGGTCTGTGCGTATCTGGGCAGACTATAAGTGGCGCCCGGTCGCGTCTGCATCATTTGCTAGTGAACAAGGGTACGCAAATAATTGTCAATATTGGATCCGTGGACATAATGCGGGGCAGACCGATTGTCCAAATCCAACATGACTTTCGTCAGTTGGTCAAGGACATGCACAATCGGGGACTGGTCCCGATCCTAACCACATTGGCCCCGCTGGCCAATTATTGCCACGACAAAGCGATGTGCGATAAGGTGGTCAAGTTCAACCAGTTCATTTGGAAAGAGTGCGCCAGTTACCTGAAGGTGATCGATATACACTCGTGCCTGGTCAACGAAAATGGCGTCGTCCGGTTCGATTGTTTCCAGTAGTAAGTGCAGCGATTTTTCGATCACTGATAATTGCTAATCGATTTAAAACTTTTTACAGCTCATCGCGTAACGTGACGGGCTCCAAGGAATCCTATGTGTTCTGGAACAAAATTGGTCGGCAACGTGTCTTGCAAATGATTGAAGCGAGTCTGGAGTATTGATCGTATTCGAGCCATGGAGACTGGTCTGGCACCTGTCTCCTCAATTGGAGGATGAGGAGATGAAGATGAAGATGTTTTATATCCACGCTGACGGCGCGGCGCATACGCTGAAATTCGAGATTCGCTTAATATTTTTAATGTGTTTTATGTTTCCATGTTCATTTTTATGTTTACTTGTATTTGTTCCTTGTAATTGTCTGTTTGTGTAAGTCCCTAGTGTAAATGATTGTTTAAAATTGCGTTTTTTGTGTTTGTTGTTTCTTGTTAGATTTTATCCTTTTCCCGAGTTTTCTGTTGCTTTGGATCGATTTTGTCGGTATTTTGAATTTTTCTACCTAGTTTTTGCTACTATCCCAAAAACTACGGAAAACTTCATTAACAATAACGATTCGGGACGACGGAAAACTTGTCTAAAAATGCTCTTGAAATTTCCAACACATTTCCCATTGCAATCTAATCCCATTGAATGGATTGCAAAGCGAAATGATATTCAAATGCAAATCATTGCAAATGTTATAAACTGTTTTCTGTTACTCTTATTCTGTATTATTCTGTTTGTTGGCCAAAATGTTGCATTCTCCTGTATGCCAGCACCTCCCTTGTGTGGGAGTTCCATGTGTGGGAGTGGGTTATATACATTTGAGTCATGCTACATTTTGGCCCTAGACTGAAAATGCACTTGCTTCACTTTA